AGTGAGCCATGGGCCGGCCCCGGGTTGGCTCTCTCTTGCTCAGGCCATTGTCCATGTGATTCCCTGGCTGCCATGGACCCTGGAGAGAGTTCCCACCCAGAAGAAGGCCCTCACCAGATGCACCCCCTGGACTGTGGACTTCCCAGCTTCTGGAACTGTAATACATACATTCTGTTTCCTTATGCATGACCTGGCTTCAGGTATTCTGTTATAAGCAACAGAAAACAGAATAATACAGAGTGTCCGGGAGTGGGGGCTCCCAGCAGAGAAGAGGAACGAAGAGGCTCCGGGTGGTGGGTGCCTGGCCCTTGTGTAGATTCTCTTAGAGTTGCCACCTAGAGCAAGGCCTGGACCACATGTCCTCAGTCCCTGCTATCCCTCCTTGATCTGGGTCCCCTCTCAGGCTTGGTCTCTGGCCTGTCTTCACATGGGAGTGGTAAACTGAGAGACTGGCTGTGGCTAAGGATGGCGGTGAATGGGGCAGAGCCAGCCCACTTTGGTTGTAGCCACCTGGGAAAAACAAGTTCAGCCGAGCTCTCCAGGGCTCACATGGGGAAGGGCCACGATGGCAACAATCAGCTCAACAAGGGTTCCAGGCTGTGTGGTGTCCTCTGGACCTCTGCCCTGTCTCTGGAGCAGCCCACCAGGAGGACAGCCCAGAGCCTAGAGTTTTCAGGGTCTCACATTCCAACCTCTCCCTCCCCACATTCAGACCGGCTTCTTTTCCAGCACGACATTCAAAGGGGCTCTCCCTCCAGGAGATTTTGACAAGTGTCAAGTAAATCTCCACGTAAGAGCCTGAGTCTCCTGCTTCTAGGATCGAATCCAAACTCTGCCACTTGCTTGCTCTCTGATCTTGGGTAAGTCACTTACTCTCCCTAGGCCTCAGTTTCCTTGTCTGTAAAGTGGGATAATGACCCAGTAATCCCTTGCCATCAGGTTCACGAGTGTCACCTACAGCAGGTCCTTTCCTCTTTGTTTCAGAGAATTTGAGAAAACAGCAAAATGCCAAGAGTCCAAAGGCAGGCTGGGACTCCCAGAGGGCAGAAAGGGAAACGGAGGCAATGTGGACTGCAAGGATGCTGCTGAGAGGAAGGCGCTGGCAGCAACAGGTGTGCAGAGTGGCAGGTGTTTATTCTGTGGGTCCTGGCTCCAAACACCCTCACCCTACCCTGCCCCATCTCTTTGGGGATCAGCTAGGCCAGGAGCTGGATTCAGCAGGTGGGATGTGGCCAAGAGTTGTGGTTGCTCTCTGTGTGGAGAGAGAAGAGGAAGCCTGGGCTGGAACTAGAACAGCAGCAGGGATGGAGAGTAGACGGCTGAGAGGGCCAGACCCTGATTCTCCTGCCTTCCCCACACTGACCCTCCAACCCCTGGGGCAGGGCACTGAGGAACATAGCCCTGGCACTTCTGAGCACTCCCCACTGCTGCCTCAGAGGGATAGGCAGGTCTAAGTGCTCCTTCCCTGACCTCCCCCAAACCCCACCACCTGCCCCAGCCTTGAGACGGAGACCACTTTGTGCCGAGAAATAAGGCAGGCCCTGCCCAGCCAGACCAACCTGGCCAGGCCCTCAGTGCTGGTCCAGGATGAGGGGCACCTGGGCACTGTCCACGCGGGGAGGCAGCCGCTCGCCGGTGCGCACGTTGAACATGGGCAGGGTGGAGAGTGGCCGGGGCACCTCGCGGCTGGCTGCCATCTGCCGCAGCTCCTCCGTGTTCCCGTGGATGGTGCAATGGTGGACCATCTGGATGCTGGAGGCACAGGGTGGGGGAGTCATCAGCTCTAGGAGTCAGTCCCCCCAGGGTCCAGCCTGGCACTACCTCTGAGCCACCCTGCAGTCTTCCCCACCAGTTATGTGGGGAAGGGGAGCAAACAGGAAGTTTTATGGTGCCTGCTCAGTGCCCAGTGATTGAGACATGGGCTCTGGGTGCAGACAGCCTGGATTCAAAGCTGTGTGTTCTTGGCAAGTTGCTTAACAACTTCATGCCTCAGTTTCCTCAACTGTAAAATGGGATAATAATACCTACCTCCCAGGATTGTTGTGAAGATTAAATGAGAAAATGCAGCTTGGTGTTTAGAATAGTGCCTGGCACATCGTAAGTGTTCCTGAGATACTAAGACGTGGATAGATATCCACAGTGGATATATATTTCCAGAGGCCATTGTTTTCTGGGCTTTATACTGTATTCTGGTTTTATATTTGGATGACCTTCTCGGTCCCTCGTAGCACTCAGCTCCCCTCCCTCAATACCTTCTCCAACCCCTAAGCATCTAATCCTCCTCCCTTCCCTCCATCCTTGTTACTCTGGCAAACTTAGCTTCTCCTTCACCTTTTCTCACCTCCTAGTTGTTGCCCAAGCTGTCTCCCCTTCCAGGTACACCTTCCCTCCCCACGTCCTGCCAGGCCTTGAGCATCTCATCTTGTGGCTCCTCAGACCTGTCCTCCACTCCCTTTATACCCTGGCCCCCTCCCAGGCCCACCCCAGCCTGCCCCGGCACTGATCAGCTCCCAGGAGAGTCTTGTCTCCCTGTCTTTGTTTCAGATCAGGGCTCCTTGAGGCCCAGCACTGGGCTACACCCTCAATGGGCTGGAAATCCGAGCAGCACCGAGTGGACACACTCATTGGAAAGTCCTTCCTGAGCTCTAGCTCCAGTGACTCCTCAGAAGGCTCAGCCTTATTCACATTTGACATTCTCATGGACTTGCTTTCTGCTGTCCAGGGCCAAGCTTTAGTACATTCTGGGAGGCAGGACAGCACAGTAGTTAAGCAGGAGAACTTGTTTTGGATTTGCCTCTGGGTTTTACTACTTACTGGCTGTGTGATCTTGGGCCAATTACTTAACCTCTCTGTGCCTTAGCTTCCTCGACGGTAATGCAGTTGTTGTATGAATTAAATGACTTACACTGGAAAAGCACTTAGAATGTTTCCTAGCCAAGCTTGCAGCAAGTGGTAGCTATTATTGTAGAGAGCCCTCAGCTGCCATCATCATCATCAGTTATTTTATTATAGCACGTCCACCAATGAACTTGGCTTCGAGTGGGAGGGTGTTTCCAAGCCCCTTTTACATGAACCCACCCATATTTGTTGGCCCAGTCTGGAGGCATTTTCCCAGACTACCTGGTCGCCAGATCAGACAGAGCAGTGACTTTTCATTATGAACAATTAGAACTGGTTTTCTTAGAGGGCTGGGGCCCCAGGCAGTGCTCAAGTGACCCCACCTGCCACTCAGTTACTGATCAGATGGGGGAGGGGCTTCCTGTTTGCTACTCACCCATGGCCAAGCCTCAATTAGTGGACAGACTCCAGTTAGAGCCTGACCGGTTAGACTACAGGAAAGACTTCCTAGCTTTACCCTGAATGGGCCACTCTTCTCCGGGGGGAGTGGGACAGAGTCCTGTCTGGCCAGTGGGAAGAGATGGAGTCACCGTCTAAGGCCAGAGGAGGGTCAGGATGAGCTCTTGAGTCTGGAATTTGGCAAGCTGAGTTGTCTAAAGCACAATTTTCCATTCCCCAGAGAGCGATGGGAGTGGAGGAGGAGAAGTGTATGGAGGCTGAGATGGAAATAGCCGGGCAGGTATGCCAGTGGAGGAAGGGTGCAGTCACCGGGCCACCTCCCCACCCCCAGCCCTCATCTGGGTCTCATTACTCTGGCAACACACAGGTGGAAAAATGTCCTGGGGATATTTCTCTAGAGCAAGAGCAAAAGCCAGACCCCGCAGTGCCTTTCACATCAAAACTCGGGCAGACGAAGGAACAGGCAGCTATTCCTACACACACACACACACACACACACACACACACACACACGCACCCGTGGCCCGAGGTCTCACCCGCACCCGCCGCACCACCCCCCACAGCTCCGCATGCTCTGCATCTGGCACTCACACCCACAGGAGAGCTGGGGCCTGGCGGACTCTGTGATCAGTAAAATCTGATATAGGTGAAAATCAGGCAGCAGAATCACAATTTGCGGATCATTTGAACAATGGTAGATATTGAACAAGTGGAAAGTTGGATTTTGTAGAATTCAATCAACATAAAATTCAAGCCAACAAAGGTAAATATCGCACATGGTAAAACTGCTTATTGATTCCAAATTGAAGGAAGCAGATTTTTCTGATATTGGAGCTATAAAATCAACCCAGGGAAGCTGGACATGGTAGAAATTCTGGTCACAATGGCAGTAGATATGATTGGTAAAATTTGGCACAGTCTGGGCCGGCCCGTGGCTCACTCGGGAGAGTGCGGTGCTGATAACACCAAGGCCCCGGGTTCGGATCCCACATAGGGATGGCCGGTTTGCTCACTGGCTGAGCGTGGTGCTGACTACACCAAGTCAAGGGTTAAGATCCCCTTACCGGTCATCTTTTTAAAAAAAAAAAAAAAAATTTGGCACAGTCCAAGCAAAATAAAGAATAAAATCCTGCATGTGAAATGTACATAGAAAATCACTGACCCCAATGGGAAAAAAATCTATAAAATAAAAATGAAAATAGAAAATAAAAGTGAAGCCTTTTAACTGCTTTGTATGGAAAGTTGCTCAAGGAATGAAATCAACTTACATAGAACCAAGGAATGACATTTCTGTTCACTCTGGAAAATATATTCCCCATAAAAACTCATAAATGTTGGTATAATTCTGATGTTTAAAATGTGTGTATTCCTCAACCCACTGGCTCACAGACCTAATGGGTTGAGATGGTGGGGTCAAATGGTGGGTTTAAAACCAGGGGCCCAGAACACCCTGAAACTGGGTCAAGCATGTACATATACATGCACACCCATGCATACACACGTGTGGGACCACGCACCTGCCCATGCAGCCATGGCCTTCCTCCCCAGGGTACTGGCATGTCAGATGCCTACACTGTCTGGCATCTCCTGTCTGCCCCCCCCCACCAAGAGGGAACAATGAGGCCACTGTGACCCCTGCAGGATTCTGATGGCCTCACAATGTCCCTCTGAGGTCACCACAGAGATAATCTTACCACCCCTGGCACTCCCAGCACAAGTCTGCTGAGGCCAACTGTGGGAGATCATCCTTGCTCCTCCCTCCAGCCACCCAAGGGAAGGAGTGGGCTGGAGCCCTACAAGGAAGCCTCTGAGGGAACCAGGAACTGGGACGCACCTGACCCACCCACCAAGATCTTCCAAGCCAGTGGAGATTTCCAGCCGCCATCCTGGAGGTCCTCACACCCACCTCACTTCCCCTGCCCCAGGAAGAGATGCAGAAAGATACTTCACTGCTGCCCCCATCTATGCCTTCAGCCTCAAACACTGTCATGGGTGGAGGCCAACAGGCCAGTGGGTCAGAGGTCCCTACCAACAGTGAGACCGGGCACCACACCTGTCCTAAAAAGCCCCCGAAGCCCAGCATGTCCAAGGTGATCATGGGGGCTATGAAAGAGAAGGGGGCACGCAGCCGCATGTCCCGGGCCGCACTGAAGAAGGCTCTTACCACCATGGGCTTCGACATGACCCGCAATGCCTTTCACTTCAAACAAGTGCTCATGGGACTGGTGGACAAGGGCGTGCTCAAGCAAGTGACCGGCAGGGGGGTCTCGGGCTCCTTCCGCCTGGGCAAGAAGTGGGCCACCAAGGCCAAGCTCAAGGCCAAGAGACAGCAGCGGCGGCGGCGGCGGCAGTCTGGGCGGCGCCGATCTGGGCCGCGCCAGTCTAGACAGCGCAGGTCACTACTGGGCTCCAAACAGGGGCACAAGCGGCTTTTCAAGAGGGCTCGCAGGGTGAACAAATGCCACCGCAACTAATGAGGCAGGTCAGGCAAGCGGCAGCAGTGCCGGGCCTGCCATAGGCTCAGTGCAGTAGCAATAAAAGGAGCCTAACTTATTTCACACCTGCCTCCTGGAATCTTTGGGGTTCAGAGGAGTGGGAGAGGAAGAGGGCTGGGGACACAGAGGAGGTGTAAGGCCATGGGTAGAGGAAGCCTGGGGCGAAATAAGATAGGTTTGGGAAGGGCTGGTGGGATGGAAAGCATCCATAGACATCAGCTAGTCCAATCATGTCAGTGTGCAGGTAGAGAAATGGTAACGGAGTAATTGTGTGGCAGAGCCTGGCCTGGAACCCAGGTGTCTGAC